AAATACTTTTTTCGAACAAGCTGAAGTATTTTTCACCTAATGAGAATTTTTAGGTGTTTTCAATCCGAACGACTGCGTTCAGTCTGCGCCTAGTGCGGATTCTGAAACCTCAATGAAAAATATTGGAGTATGGAATGCGGAAACTAATGATTCGACGACAGTAAGCCAGAACAGTGCTATTTCAGAAATCACACTTTCTGTTACTGCTTCTATAGGGTCGCAGGTGATGACATTTGCTGACGTTGATCGGTCAGTCAAAACGGAAGATCAAGGAAATATTTGGGGGAAAACAGTAGCAGACTTGAAAAAGTAACTTTCTTGCTTTGTTATTCATTTTTGATCGGTTGTTTTTGTGAATAGGCAATTTGCAATTAACATAGAAGATTATGTGGAGATTAAAATACTCTTTCAAGGTTTCCGATTTTTACACGATTTTGGTTGATCGTGTTTTGTTTGCTGATCGCCAATTTTCTTCATTTACAGTGAAAACAATGTTTCGGCTAAAAAGTGCGAAAATGCAACAGCAAGAGCAACACCACCACCAGCTACTTCCACAAAACGCGTTACTTTCAGTAATGAAGTTAGCGCTTGTCCCCCACCAGGTAAAGGGATGCGGTTTGGTCCTTTTACATCATAGTTTTCTGTTTATTCTACTGTTGGTTGGGTTTGGCATTGTAACACGTTGCTTTCAGTTCTAACTTGACTTGGCCTAGGTCTTAACGTATTGTTTGCAGATGACAGTAGTTACCCAGCACCATCTATAACTCCACTGAAATCTGATGTGGTTTTTGTCAGTAAAATGAGAAGACGTATGTTTTGTCATCTTCTAAAGTTTTTTAAATTTTGTTTTTCGAGGACCATCTTTTATATTCCTTGCCTTAGTGCCATTTACTCTAATTTATATTGTCTTTTTCACTTGGGAGATTCAAATAAATTCAAAAAGCATTAAAATTTTTCTTTTGGCTGTTTTCGTAGGGTAAATTTACTGACATATTTTTTTCCTTTTTATAGGCAGTCGTGATGCAAAGAAGAAATTAACTGATGAACAACGAAGAATAGTTGCGAATATGGCTAGAGAGTTTTTGGCAAATTGCAAAGATTCTCATAAATATGCTGTTTTCAGTTCCCCTTCGGACTTTAGTTCCAGTGGTAATTTTACACAACAAATATTTTGATCTCGTTTAACTAGGCTTTCTGCTTGCTCCTCAGCCCTTATAATAATTGTTCTCGATGAATAGTTTTTGTAAGTAACGTTGATGCGTATCATTGTTTGTTTTTTGTGTGGAAACAGGTTTATCAAGTAGTTTTTAATATCGCTAGGATAATTCTTCATTTAAAATGGTTTGGTTTTTGTTATTCTTAGCAAAGCGATCTCTTGCAGGTAATTTCTTGATTTCTTCTGGTGATCTTTCAAGTGATATTAATCAGCTTTCGATATCAGAGTCCCGAGATCTTTGGCCGTCTTATGAAACAAATGAGCAGTCAAAAGTAGAAACCGCTCGACAGCGTTTGGAACGCATCGCTGAAACTGTTAGGTTCTCTATTGGATTCAGTGACTTCCCCAAGGTTATTTTTTGTATTTTTTCAGTATATAATTTTTGGAGTAGTTTTCATCAAAATTATTTGTTTATTTTGACTGTGTGTACGGGAAGCACGCGTTGCTTGTAAGAGGTAAACTTTAACATATCTGGCTTCTGTTTTTAACCGTGGTTGTCGAGGATTTTCTTTCGTAAAAAATTTTGAAGTGAATGGAGAGGAAGAGCAGGAGGGTAAAGACCAGTAAGAAGGAGCATTAATCATAGCACTTTATATTGTTTGCCTACGCCGTTTTCGATCATTAGACCACTGTTAATAGTTTATTTCACGTTGAACATTGGAAATGCTGGGTTTTTTTGTAAGGCGACAGGTGAAAAAAGATTTGAGTAATTAATGCTTTTTAGTTATTGAGGATTCTGTAATTAATGTGAATGAATTGGCAGAACTACACTCGATAATGTATAGCTTTAATGTATATCTGAGCAATGTTGTCTGGTTGAACCTGTTAGCCATTTATAAAAGTACTGTTTGACAAAGAAATTTACAAGAATTTTCATTTTCTTTTAGAGGTGGAAGTTTTGTCTAAGGTGGTCAACATCAAAAATTCAGAGTAGAAGGTAGTAATCGGCCTTTCTTCGTATTGAGTTCTATTACGTTTGAGTTTATTCTCAGATATTGAACTCAGGATAAGTCTGCCCTTGAGTTGACCAGAGTGAAGAAGATCTCTATATAATGCATACTCATCCCAGTGAGTAAATATGGTAGTGTAAAAATATTTAAAATTTTAGAGTGAAATGCCCTCTTTTCAGAGTTTGCAGTTCTGTTTCTTCGATACTTCTGCAATTGATTTTTAGCTTTTTTGTAGTTACATACTTCCTTTTGAAATCGAGGGTGGTGAGTTTAAGATTGAAGTGTAATGACGTTGCGCTTGCAGTAAATTTCAGATTTCAAGTGATAAAAGATCGCTTGCTCTAATGCTTTTGTGGGGTCTGAGCATTTGTCAATATCTCTGAAAATTTTGGAGGTGTTGCACTGTTTTACTTTATCGAGCAGCATTACTTTTCACTTTGTAGTCTCATCTTGATTGCTTCATTTACTGAAGGTTTCGAACTTTCTTATCAGGTTTACCTCTTTAATAAAGGGTTTCAAGTGTTTATTCTTGAGAACTACTGGTTGATGTTCTTATTCTACTGGTTTTACCTATAATTCTCCCACACAGAGTTTGCGATTTATCGACTAAAACAAAAGTTCTAGAACTGATGAAGGGAAGGAGTTTACAAGTTTTTAAACGTGCCAGTTTGAAATGGAAACTTCGTTTTCCCCTTCTTGTTGAGCCATGATCAAATTTACAGGATTTATACTGTTTGGTATAGTTTTTCTAAATTGACTACAGCTGGAATTTACCAATGACTTAAATTAATTGAGAATCAGAGATAAAAATCTGTAGGGATTTGAGTAAGAGTTGGTATATTTTTAATTTATTTATTGTGTGCATATATACTGTCTGAAGCCATAAAAGTTAAATTTCATTAATACTGAGAACAGTTTGTGTCATTTGATTCTGTTCTTCCTTTTTGCCTTAGGATATTCTCTTTCAAATTTGAATGCTTCTGAGGAGTCTTTTTCAGGTTATTCCATTTCATATAGTGAATTTTTGATTTCATTTTTTCGATCTGCTAGAAAAAGATTTTCAGTGAACTTAGTCATAAGGAACTTTCCGAGTTGGTAATAATGCTTGAAATATGGTTTTCTTTAAAAGGATAGCTTTCCCAAAAAGTTAGGTTATTTTTGTAAAACTTATAATAAAAATCTTACTTGTTATTCAGGTAGAGGACGACAGCGACCTGAAATATTTTTCGTTGGTTTCTTTAGGGATTGAGAAGCCGTTGGTAAGTGTCATATTTAAAATTCTTATATTAATCCTTCTTAGTTTTTGTAACTTTATAGCTGATCATACTGCTGAATTTTTCTAGGTTTGCCATGGGTGTGGGAATTCTGAAGATGCTGCCCATGATAATGCTGCCTACAACGTCCTGTTAGCTCTTTCAAATTACGATCTTATGCAGCCTTCCGAAGAATCTGCGTAATATTTATTTTTTATTGGCTCAGCTGATTGTTTTCAACAAAAGTCAACGCTTTTTAGATAAAGCTGATAGGAACAGGTACTAAGAT